ATTTACAAATTTTAAAAAAATAAAACTATTTAATATTTTATTTTATTAATTTAAATTAAGAAATATTCATATTAAATGGCTGTTCCGTACACACTGAATTTCCAAGAAATTTCCGTTATCATATCTTTAGTCTATATATTATAAGAGACGCTGCCAAATATACCAAAACTTGAAGAAAACGCATATTCTAAACTTTGGGTGAAAGGAATCGCTTTTTCTCTTCTCATCGCTCCACCTTCGCTCTTGCTATCGCTGTTGCTGTTCATACTCCCCTTTCCTTTTTTATGCTGCGGGTATTATTTCGTACACCCACAATATTCTTCTCAATATCATATATTCTTTTACACAGCTTTTTTATTACCCTAACTTCCGCTTTTCCCTCTATAATTTTCATCATAACGTGATGTTGATACAGATTAATGACGTTATCATTTACATCAACTCACCAACAATATCATGCCATGACAAAAAACTATTAAATTTATTTCAATCTTGATAAAAAATGACATCATGATAATTTTTTTAATTATAATTAAGAGATATAATTCTCTTTCATCGTACATATTGAGAATAAAATGATACTTTTAATTATAATATCATATCTAAACCGAGATTCAAATCTTAATTATTAATTATCAAGATGATTAAATACTAGAATCCATTACCTTCATTATTACAAATTCTACTACTTAAACCACTAATTAAGTCACTTGTTTAGTTATACTTTGAATACTATACTATATATAGCATTATTACTTAAGTTAATTTTTTTAAAAAAATTACTTAAATTGATAATTAAATTAACCTCCCAAACATTTAAAAGATGAGTAAATATTCATATATTTATTTAGTGTAAATAAATTGTTTATTAAATCATTGACGGTGATTGTAAGAAAAAATTGAATTAGCGTCAACCGTCAACTAAAAGCCTTGGCTAAGGTTGGATCCGTTCAGATTGCACGTTCCAAAGTGTGGCTCCTTCACGTGTGTTACCAACTTACATTTGGTAAATGAAAATTGTTGGCTAAAGCCTTGGTGTTCCAGGTAATACATCTTAAACTTACCACCAAAACAATTGCATTGTAACTTCATTACAAGTAATTCTACATATCTCTTGCATAACAAAAATAAAATTAATTTTAAGTAACATAAAACTTTAATTTAGACAAATTTGATTATTTAACACCTTAATGATTAATAAACTTGTTATATTGTTATATAATTCACTATAATATATAATTTATTTAGTATGTTTTTAAATTAAAACTATATATAATTCTATACAGTTTAGTCAGTTTACTCTGTCATTATTATATTAATTAATATTTTTAGACTTCTTTAAGGTATAATATTAATTTTATTGAAATTTATAAGTATAAAATATATATATGATATGAATATTTTTTTTTATAAATAATTAATAAAAATTGGATTATGTAATTAAATTAATAATTTACTGATTTAACTTTTGATCCATTAATTTAGTATTTTGATCAATTTGAAGATTGGTCCAATTTTTAGAACATTGTTAATAACATATGACAATAGTTAAAAAAAAACAAGCAAAAAATTATTTGCCTATCAACTATAATAGAACTTATAAGACAAAATAGAGGGTAAACAAAAAGGAAAATTACAAAATTAACAACAGGAGAGAAGAAGAAAGTTAAGATATTGTTCACACTAATTTTTATATATATATATATATATATATATATAATCTTAATCAACATTGGTGTTAATAATTATTGAGGTTATTTATGATATTTGTCTGAGGGAATATTTTATGAGGGTTATTTTTATGAGGTTATTACACAAACATACTCCACAATAATGAGATATTGTCCGCTTTGGGCCTTAGTCCTCACGGTTTTGCTTTTAGTCATTACCCAAAATGCCTATCTATCATTAAAGTATGTTTATGTTATATAAGTTGTTATTTGTTGTTTTATTTTATTTTTTTTATGATAATTGTCTGAAGGGATATTTTTATGAGTATTATTTTTTTTATAAGGTTATTTCACAAACATACTCCACAATGATGAGATATTGACCGCTTTGAGCCTTAGCCCTCACGGTTTTGTTTTTTGTCATCACTCAAAAGGTCTCTCTATCATTAAAGTATGTTTATGTTATATAAGTTGTTATTTGTTGTTTTATTTTATTGATGTGAACTTGTTTGTATCCCAACAATAATGTAGTATTTTTTAAAAAAATAATAACGTCGTTCATGTCTAACATAAATAAAAATATGTTCACTAATGGATGCTAATTAGCATCAATGTCGACGCTAATTAGTTTTAAATTTAAAACTTTACCAAGAAAAAGTTTTAATTTAAATTTTTTAAATTAAAGCTAAAATAAATAAAAACTAATAAAAAAAAGTTACATAGATGATTTTCAAATATAGGGTGCATTATTTAGAGTTGCTTAATATTTCAAAATGTTTAAAAAATATGAATAAAAAAGAGTGTATTATTTTTTTATTTATAAAAATTATAATGATATTGTCAAATTTTAACTTTAGACATTATGTATATAACTCTAATCTCGAATAGGACAATTTTAATGATTTTTGTAACAATTCATTAGGTTATTATATTTAATACAACACAATAATAATACAATGGAAAACTAAAAAAAACTATTAGTCTAAGATTATCATGTGATAATACTTGAATATCTAAATCCCATTAGGATTACAACAAATCATACATATATGTACTACAAGAAATGTTACATGTAGTGGCATACAAAAAATGTCATTATAGGTACAATATATGTAGGTATATGTCTATTTGACATATAGTTACATTACAATTTTAGTGTTAATTTTGAATGAGATTTAACAACATATTTTGTGTGTTACTATAATCTATACTCACACTTTTTAATAATATACAAACATATATTGTAGTTATTGTGTGGGTAAAAGTAATTTTTAGTGACATATATAGTGTCACTATAGAGTGTGTGTCACTGTATAACAATTTTGTTGTAGTGTATACAAATATACATCTAGTAGAGAGTACTAACACCACAAGTCCTAATGCTAATCAAATGTCCTTACACAACTACTATATCAAAATCCATAACAACATGATAGAGACACAAAAGGTCATCTCTAACATGGCTATCCATAAAACAACATACATGCCAACCTAATTTACTCTATCCTTATATAAAGTATGGTCATTGTATTGAAGAAGGAAGAATTTCAGGATCCAGAGTTTCACTCTCTAACTCCTCTCTAAAACTTTAGAGTCATAAACTTATAAAGTTTGTTCTTCATAATTTTTCTTATATACTTCAATCATCTACAGATCAACTCTCATGCACTTAAATTATATCCTTTATAACTTAAATTTAAAGTTATCATAACTCTAACTTTCACCCCACCAAATACTACAAACAATAAAACAACATGAAATATATAATATTTAATTATATTTATCACAATAAATATAATTAAAAAAGCACGGTGTTACAATTTTGAAAGTGTACAACCATTATATTATATTGTTATAATATATAATTTTATTTAGTCTTTTTATAAATATATATAACTGTGTATTAGTTTATATTTTTATAACTTGTAATTTGTTAAAAATATTTAAATTTATTAAATATTTTTATTTTAATCTTAAATTCTAAACATTAAATATTGTATGATAGTTTGTGATTAGATGATTGAAAAAAAAAGAGAGTATCAGTTTATATATTTTCTTTACTTCATAAAACATTACTGTATTTAAATTAAAATATTATTATTTGTTCTTTAATTATTCGTGATAATTTATTATTTAATAAGAGAATCTAATTATTTATGATAAATTATTATTATAGTATTTTTTCTCAAAGAATTAATATAGTATTGTTAGATATAGATATAAGCAGAAAAGGTAATTATGATAGTTTAAACTTATAAAACATTAATAATGTAAAAAAATTAAAACATAAATAATATGAATAAGAGATAATAATTAATCATTTCGAATTAGTGTCTTCTGTGCTGTCTTACCGAGTAGTCCAAAAGCAATTACAGTATATAGGAAAGAAACGATTACAATAATAATTTTTTTTACATCATTTTCACATCGGGTGATAATGTTTTAATTATTGGTTAGTCATTTATATGAATTGATTAATAAATAAAGAGTTTAATAAGTATATATAGTTAATATAGAATTCTTTCCGCTATCAACTAATTATAAATAATCTTTTATAAGAAATTTAAGAAAATAATTATAATAATTAAAAAATCATATAGAATAATATGTGATTAAATAATAGTATAAAATATCTTTACACTATTAATATATGACTTTAAAAAAAAAGCTTATAACTAATTATTGAACTATGGCAACTTGGGTCCTGGCTAACTAATTAAGATTTAAGGGCCATTAACTCAATTACCCAATTCAATACAATATAATACATTAAATTACAAGTTTAGATTGATTTAAATACAATGAATACAAATTTAAACAGATTTATCGTAACACGTGAAAATACAAACTCAATTTCTAAATATTTTAAATTAATCATCGATAAATTGTTTTTATTTAAGCTGTGGAAATTTTAGAAAAAGTATATAGAGTAAAATATTATTAAAAAATATGTAATTTTGGTTAAACTTTAATGAAAACGACTTTTAAACTTAGTATTTAAAAATTGATCCAATTTATTTTTTTTATTTTTTCAATTTATCCAATCTTTGATTTTTGACATAGTTTTCTCGATTAGATTATTTCAGTTTTATGCACCTCATTGAATCACCGCGAAATCTATTATAATATTAATACTACAAAATGCCTGACAGATGTCGTTCAACTGAATCATACATAGCAGAACTCTTTTTTTACACACACATACGAGAACTTATTCTTGCGTGTAAGATAAAATATTGGAAGAAATAAAAGCCATTTAGGTGATTCTAATTTATATTTAAAACATAAAAAGAATGAATATCCAAACAATAGATTATGAGTCGAATAATACCTTAGTGAGAACCCGAAAAAAACAGAGCATTTTTCTTTTCCCAAGAGGACAAGCTATGTCGGGGTCCAGTTTTTTGGAGTCGCTATAATACCTTACTTGATCCTATATACCAACAAAACATGTCAAGGAAGTTTCAAGGAAAGAGGAGTATATGCTACTTGCAGGAATTAAACACAAATCAAATGATCACTCTGCATGTTTTCTATACTTCCATTGCTCAGCTACTTTTCATTTCTTGTATCTATTATAAGGTGACATTCAAACTCTAATAATAGCTACCACATAGTCTTCTTCTTAAGGGTCATGATTTAACTCATTTTTCAAATTCTGATTAGAGTTCTATGCTAACAACACTTTAGAATGAATGAATTGAATCATTCCTTGTATGGTGTTGCAGATGTTATTCTGACTGCAATTTGCTGCAAACGTTACATACACATTGCTCAAGGATAAACAGTTCAACCATCTTTCTGTAAAGGTAATAATCTCTCTCTTAAACAATCTTTTACTGATATAAGTCGTCTTTTAAAAATTTTATCTATCAGATATTAGCCTCTTTTAAATTTCAAAATAAAATTGACTCTTATCCCCTCCTCGACATAAAGCTTCGTCCAACTAAAATGTTTTTCCCTTTTCAATTATGGGAGGGACAGTGTGACGTGAAATAAGGAAAAGTTTGGTTGACAGTTTGTTTTTTTTCTTCTTCCAAAAGAGTAAGTGATAATGTCATTTATTTTATTCTTTTGTTGTAATGAATCACGATTGCAATGAATTTTAAAATAACTACATCTTACTTAATTTAAATTATACTTTAAAAAAAGATATTACTTACTTTATTTTAAATTTTTTAAATATAATCATAAAACTTGCTATGGGGACACAATGTCTTCTCTGTCAACCTGCTGAATGGCAAAATGATTTACATGTTTGAAAGGTGTAAAATAGTGTGAAATATCAAATCATTATGAGTCTATGATCTCCATTAATTAATACATGATATGTATTTAAATTTTTCAAAAAATAATTAATAACACTTAATTATATGTTATTAGAAATTAATTAAGTAACATGAAATTTAATACCACCTAATAACTTATCTCGGAATGGTGAGAAAAATAGAGGAAATAAGTTGAATTAACATGAATAAAGTGTTGCATATCGCAAATAGTTGAGTTGATTCACGGGTAAGGAGTAAGGACTTATATTCTCACCTTTAAGTTGCAAAATGTAGTTACAATTGCGATTCAAAATATCAAGGCTAGATATTGAGAATAATTAATTTTAGTTGTATTGTAATTTCATAAAAAAAATCCAGAATTGTGATTCTAATTTTTTAAAAATAAATTAACCATTATAATTAAAATTTAAACTCTAATTTATTTTTTAAGCTATAATTTCATATTGAATTTTGTGCATCAAATAGTAAATAAAATTATTATGTACTACCTTCATTTCTCCATTCTTATATATGACTTTTTTTTATATCCTTTTTATAATATTTCTTTGTATTTATTACATCTTCTCAAAAATACTTTTATTATTAATTTTTTTTAAACAAAAGATAATAAATGTTTGAAATTAATTAGATGATTTTTTCTCTCTATTATTAGGATTGAAGAAGATAAATAAACATATAGATATTTATTTCTTCCAATTAATTAATTATGAAAAAAATAATTAAATGAAAAGAGAGAATGTTAATTTTAGGAAAATAGTTAAAATTATAGGCAAATTTAATGCTCTTAACTAAATTACCTAATATTATAATTTAGTTAAAATGGTCTTATAATTAGGGATAGTGTAGTAGTATTATTTTAACTATAGATAATTATTTCTTGTACTTTAAGGGGACATGGGGTACACACAATCTTTTTACTTTTTTGGAAATCCTAAATAGAAATCTTGGTCTTTCATTCATTGGTAGCTATTTAAAAATAAAAATTTCCAGGAAATGTAGTTTCTTAGAAATCATTTTTATTTTACTTTTCACAAAAACATTCTCATCAATAATGAAAATTTAATTTTCCTAAGTTTGGGAAAAAAATTATATATAAAAAGATCACAATATCCCTTTTTAAAACATAAAACTTAATTAACATTTTTGTATCCATTATCATTTGCTAAAGGGTTCTCAAAGCATCTTAATTTATATCACACAATGAGATATTTTAATTTCTAAAACATATTTTACTCTTCTCGAGTTTTATGTACCTTAACAAAGACATTTATTTCTATCACATGCCTAACAATTTAAGAACTTAATAACTATAACATCAATACAACTTTATCACTTAAAACATCACACTTCACTTCAACATATAACACTTGACGCCATTATAAGAGTGCTCAACACTATTGAGATAGAGAGATTTATGTCTTGTTCTTGCCCGACGTGATGAGTCTCCTGCATTTGGAGTGACAAAAGCTATGCCCAAACTCTATCAAGCAAAGAGTTTGTACATAAGTCGCATCCGACATCACTCAACCTACGTCTGTGTCATTTATGCAAAGATTCATTGACTTGATCATGCTTGGTGTGACTAAGTCAAAAGATTCTTCACCGATCTACATTTGATGTGACTAAGTCAAATAACTCCTCATTGATCCACACTTGATACTACCAATCTTGCGTCAAGTGTGATTAGGGCAAAAAGCCCACTAACTTGTGTCACACCTAACACAATGATGGCGTGCCTGATGCGATACTTGTTTTGCACATAGCAAAATCTCCAAATGGCTCAAAACTTGCAATCTAACCAACCAAAACAACATGCAATGCAAGATACAACATATATACACCATAAATGACACCAAATCAACTCAAATATACAACATGCAACTATCAAATACTAAATCCACCAATTTACTTGAGAAACTCTATCAATAACACTTAAACTCATAATCTTCACCACCAATTAAATCACGCAAGTGGCGAGTTCATACAATAATAGTAAGCATTGAACATAACAAATCAAATCACAAAGCTTCCCTTATTTCAACTCCAAGCACAAGAGAAAGAGGAAGAAAAGGAAGAACTTTGGGTTACTGTATAACTTTCACCAACTCAAATTCTTAGCTCTAAGCCTTGAATCTTTGATTTAGTCACTTTAGATCAATTATGAGGAAGGGTTGAATGAAGATTTTGAATAGAGAAGGGAAAACAAAGATTTTGTTATTAGAAAATTTCTCTCTAATTTTTCTTAAAAATTATATTTATGATATTCACATTTTAAGAAAAACCTAATATATTTTTTGTTAAATTTAACTAACTTAACTATCTCAAAGACAACTAAATTTTTAAAGTTTCTTGACTCCAAAGTTCTTAAATAGCAATATTAACAATAACTTACAACTAATCATATAATTAAATTAAATCACTCCAAAATATGCAGTGTTACAAATTTTATATAAGAAACAATATTGAGTCGTATAAGCTTGTTTTGTTTTGGATATGCAAATTATTGATTTTACTTGAACTAATTAGCCTAATTTTTTCTTGGACCATTGTTTTTAGTTTGACAAACTCGACGCTATAAGTTATTTTCAACACCTCCAATTTGACTTGAGTGACACACTTAACCTATTGTTCAAAGCAAACCAATCTTAGATAGAGTCAATTTGAGTTAATATTGTGTCATTTATTTATTTACTATTTTGTTTAGATTTAAATTTGTTGATATTTTCATTTTCTTGTCATTCTCTTATTATTTGAAATTGTTGTTTTGAACCATTATGTTGTATTTTTTTTATTGAATTCTTGTGTGTTTTTTTCCTTATATTTTATATGGTTGTTGTTTTCTCGAATATGCTTTATTAAAAAATTAAAATTGGATGAGTCAAATTGTAACTCAACATGTTTAATTCATTATTAGTGGGTTAAGTCAAATTAGATTGACTTGTATTTTGAGAAACCCTTTACAATCTCCCTTATTGGAAATTTTTTCCATCTCCATATTTCACTCAATATCAAAATCTTCTCACCCCATTATCATCCTTAATTATAATAATAATAAAGATAAATTTAAACCAGAATCACATAAGTGTGCAATTGAATACAACTTAACCCTAAAAACTAGCTGAATAAGGGAAAAATTGCTTAAGTTTTATAAGAAATATTTTTATCATATTTCTTAGAATTTGTATCTTGACTCAACTCTCCAAAAAGAATTACCTATTTCGTATGTGATGGAAGATAAACATTTATTTTGAATAAATAAAATTCATGATAAATAAATTTTTTTTTTATATAAATTACATAAAAATTAAAATTATGGTAAATAAACATTTTGTACACATTTTTAAAGTTTTACAAAAAAAAATTTAACCTGTTATATAATTTTTTAAAAATTACTAAAATTTAATTTAGATATAGAGATAAAAAAAAATTAATATAAAAGAATACTCTTAGATATTTTTTTAACTAGATGAAGAGAAAAATTATTCAGAATATGTAATTAAGGGAATAAGGAGAGTCAGTTGTATATTATGGATTTAATAAATCAATAAGTTCTTAATTTTTTTATTTTTTTAATTAAATCCTTAAACTACTATAATTGTAATTAAATCATTGATTTTTATTTTTTATAATTGATTCACTGAGTTAATTTATTTTGATTTGAAACCATCACATAAACAACAATTTGTGTAGATTTTACTAACTTTAGAGATCTAACTAAAAAAATTGCAAAACTTAAAATACTAAATTACATTTTTTTAGTTTAAAGACCTAACTAAAATTTTTCAAAAAATTTAGAACTTACCCATGCATTAAATACAAATTTTAATTTAAAGTATAAAAATAGATTATTAAATTAAAAAGTTGAGAAAAATACATTAGCATGAAGACAAATAGAATGAATAAAAATGAATGAGTCCCGCGTTTGAATTTGAATTTGGCACCGCAACGGCGTGCATTTTGCCTCTCCAGTTATAGCGCGATTGGTGCCTGGCGTAGTGCAGAGCACCTATAATCGAGACACATTCTTCATTGTTCTCTTACGCGTTTGACTTAATATTTTAGCAACTTCCAATAAATTTTAGTTAATGGTAGAAAACATGTAAAAAAAGAGTGTGTCCAAACTCCAAACCAATATTTCATCCGGTCCAAGGCTATCAATGTACAATAATTTCTAGTTTCATTCACTAATTTTTTTTCTACCGTATAGCTTTATTAATATTCACGTTTACCTCACAAGTGTTATTGATATGTTTCAGGTGAAAGGTAAACGAATACCTGCTTCTGCTTCTGCTTCTGCTTCTGCTTCATAGTTAGGAAAGATTTTCCTGATACTACGCGTTGTGCCACGAGCACAAGTGAATTTGGCAACAACAAAACTAGGACTAGTGTTATGGTTTCATTTCATTTCGTAATTGTTTCCAAAAGTGCAGGAAACGTCGCGATTCATTTTCCTGCATCAACATTTAACACCAAAAAACCTTTTATTAGAAATACGAAAACGTGGAGGAGAATAATGAATATATTCTCGAGCGCATTAACTTCGTATATCGCACTTAAATCGTAAAAAGAAGTTTCGTCGAAGAGCCAAACAAACAATGCGTATATTCTATTTCTCGTGAATGGAAATTAGTTAATTGTAGCTTCAAAAACGGTAGCGTTATTTATTGGTATAGTATTATTCGTTTCGTCATCTGAACTCTGTAGTGTTTCAGGTTTTGCAGAGGAAGACGAAGACCAGAATACACCTATTTCCATCAGAGTAATCTCGGTGAGTCACGCGCTACTATGCGAATTGCACAATGTACTACTGTTTAGAGAGAGAGGTTTTAGGGCTCCTTATTTTCTAGACAGAGATGTGTTATACTGTGTAAGTGAAAATGATTGATTTGGATTTAGAGACTATTCATTCATTGAAACTTCGACTTTGAATTATAAGGATAACGACAAAAAAAATTATCAGTGGAAATTTGAACAGTTTTTTTGATCGAACATGTTTTTTGAGTGTTGAAATTCCGAACTAAGATGTTTTCTTGTGAATCAGTGAGGTTTGAGGTGAGTGAGTGGAAGTGGAACTGTAAATAATAAAAATGATTATTATGATATACTGTGAAGTAGTAGTGAGGCATATAAGGTAGTGACGGTGTCATCTATTCTGCGACAGTTTTCGGAAGTATGAGTTTCTCCAAGGGCTCTCCCGGCGGCCAGACGCCGCGTGATATAGAGGCTGGGTCTCCCCGTAGCTTCTCTGCTGATTTTGATGATGGAGACTTTTCCTCTGATCCCTTTGATGTTACCAGAACAAAGAATGCTCCGGTTCAACGCCTCAGGCGTTGGAGGGTACGTGTCAACTATTCTAATTCACTCTCTTGCTGTCAATATATTATTATTGTTTTATTATTTTAATAAGATATGATTGATACTGTTTCTCTGCTTTTGATTTTCAACCGAATAAATATAAATATATGAATCCCCATGGGCACGGGATACTATTTCAGTGAAGTTGGTTAAAACTGTCTGCGGATTTTACTTGTGCAGTAATATTGTGAGTTGGGCATTTGTTGGTCTTTCTCGCATGCTATTGGTGCCTTGTCCCGTAGGATTTTGGGTGCCATTCCCTTATCAATTCATATGCATGTGCTCGTATATATATAATATATATAGGTGGGGTTCCACTTGTTGAACCAGTATATTTTTCCAAACTTTCCTTTGTGTATTGATATAAACACACACAGATAGACAGGGAGGGAGAGCACTGCTTATCATTTTAATGGTGTACAGGATCCAAATAAAGAGCAGCAGAAGCTCTTGCATAGTATTTGGGTGAAGGAGAATGAAAGGGAGTGGAGGAAAGGAGAGGAACTTTTATTAATTTTTCTTATTTGGTTCAATTTTTAGGAGGAGAATGAAGAGTAGCAAAATCTCTCATCATCAAATTTTAGTTCCACTCTAATATTGTGAGGATTTGGAGGGGAGAGGCTTTAAAACATTTTTAGTATTATACTATTATGTCTAAAATATTTTTACATGTGTTTTAAAATTCTAAATTATAAGGATATAAAGATAAATTAATTTTTAAAATTTTTTCCCTCTCCTAGTGAACCAAACAAGAAAATAGTTATCTCTCCCTTCATCTAAACCAAACAGAGTTTCTAATTCTTCTCCCACCGAGTTTTTTCATGTGTTAGGGTCATGTGAAGAGAGACAAAAACGTGGAGAAAATAATGTTTCAACTGGCGTTTAGGGTCTCTTGAACTCACATGAGAAGGTTCATTCCCCAAATGAATTGATGAGAGCATGGGCTAGGAGAATACTGGATAGACTTCATGGTTTGAAGGAGACATGTTTGAAAAGATAAGCAGATGATCAAAATGGCTCAAAAGATACAAAGATCAAGTACTGATTGGTAATTTTTTGGGGAAGGAGACAAGGAGATTAGAGATTGATATGAGCATTCGTAGCGAAGGCAAAAAGAAGAAAGCAACAGACTTGATTATCAACTTTTCTAAGTCAAGTTTCAACTCTACCCACCAACTTTGAATTTATTTGTAATGGGATACTTCTGACATTTGAAATTTCCCTTTATTGGAAGGAGATAAATCACTCAATTACTGTGAAAGTTTAACATTTTCACATGGGAAAAAGTCAAGTTTGTGACATGAAACTAAGCACTACTACAGTGCCAGGAGTTTGTTCCTAATAGACAATGATTGAATTTTTCATGCTAGTTTGAAGATTCAAGATGTATTCTATTTGCGATGACTCTTCTGAAGTTGCAATTATTCTCCTAGAAATTTAAACTTGTGTTGCCAAAACTGGCTTAAGACAAGATACAGAGCATTTTCTTGATCATGTATCATGTGAAAGTTTAACATTTTCACATGGGAAAAAGCCAAGTTTGTGACATGAAACTAAGTAATACTACAGTGCCAGGAATTTGTTCCTAATAGACAATGATTGAATTTTTCATGCTAGTTTGAAGATTCAAGATGTATTCTATTTGCAATGACTCTTCTGAAGTTGCAATTATTCTCCTAGAAATTTAAACTTCTGTTGCCAAAACTGGCTTAAGACAAGATACAGAGCATTTTCTTGATCATGTATCAGAGACTTGAAGCCACCTTCGTTTTTTTATTTCAAGTTTCAACAGTATCAGATTCCCACGTTATAGTTATTTTGTTAACATGAATTGCTGCTTGTACTTGACTATTTTGACGCATTATGTTTTTATTTTTGATATTTGGGAGACAATGTTTTGTTCAATGACCAGACAAATAATTCCTTTTGTTTTTCAGCAAGCGGCACTTGTGCTCAATGCTTCTCGTCGATTTCGTTACACCTTGGACTTAAAGAAAGAAGAGGAGAAGAAACGAGTATTAAGAATTGTTATAGTGCATACACGAGCCATTCAAGTTTGGTTCCTTCAGTTGACTTTCTATGGTATTGCTCATGTTGCATGTGTTAAGTGAACTAATAAATTAATTTACTCTGTTAGGCCGCATATCGTTTCAAGGCAGCTGGGCAAATGAATGGTGAGTCATTTTGGTGTGCTGATGCTTGGTGCTCCCTAGATCTTTATTAAATAACTTTTTCAGCGAGTTGGCCTGGTATATGACAAGCATGGACTCTATTTTTTTCTTCCAATATCAATGCTCAATGCTTTTAACTGTTGGGATTAGGAACTATAAAACCTCATTCAGGCTCCACTGGGGAATTTTCAATTGGACAAGAGCAACTCTCTTCAATTTCAAGGGACCGTGACATTTCTGCTCTGCAGGAAAAAGGAGGGGTAAGTGTGCTGAGAATAATTTTCTTAAATCAGTAATTCTATTGACTAGTGTCGTAATATTCATGTGATTCTTCTGAATCACTTTATAAGGTTGTAGGGTTATCACATTTGTTGAAAACCAATTTAGAAGAGGGAATTCAAGGTGATGATGATGACTTGATTAAACGGAGGAATGCATTCGGGTCCAACAACTACCCTCGAAAGAGTGGAAGAAGTTTTTTGGTAAAATTTGGTTCACATTATTCATTTAATGATCCTCATTTTATTGGAGTTTTATTGTATTGATGGCTTTATTTTGTTTCCTTCCATAGATGTTTATGTGGGATGCTTGCAAGGATCTGACCTTGGTTATTTTAATGGTAGCTGCAATGGCTTCATTAGTACTAGGGATAAAATCTGAGGTGAGATTAGTTGAGAAAGTTATGATGAAATTCATTGTTCATATATATCATGAAAAAGAAAATCTTGTTAGGTGTTTGTGTTAGACTCAAGCATTCTAGCACACTGAATACTGGATTATATTACTAATTTAATCTTTATAGTCTAGATTAAAATACACAATCATTGAAAGGAAGTTGTAAAGTTTCTTATTTGTAGTACTGTCCTATTGCCCATTTTCTTGTAATTTTTCCTTATTGGTATTCTTGGATAATGTCAGTTCCTTTGTATTTCTCATTCATCCCTTCATAATCTGTTTCAGGGTATCAAGGAAGGATGGTATGATGGGGGAAGCATTGCTTTTGCAGTTATTCTTGTTATTGTTGTTACAGGTATTAATATTTTGTCTTTGCAATGTTGATAATGCATTAAAGCATTTAATTACACGTTTTATTATTCTGCTTCAGAATTTGGAATTTGATATAAAAATGCATTTAGCGTAGACACAAGTCCATTATCAGCTTTGTCATTTATTGTGGAGGTTATCATAATAATTATACATCTAGTATTATTCTCCTTTAACGTTAACGGGCAAAACATCCTCTTTTGTTTCTCCTCCTCTTTTCATAGCTGTAAGCGATTATAAGCAGTCTCTTCAGTTTCGAGACCTAAATGAGCACAAGAGAAACATACATTTGGAGGTTTGTTTTTTTGGCTTAGCTATACTTTTTAGTTATTTATTTAATTATTGTCATTATTAAAATTTTAATGTTATCATCAATTTATCATATTTCTTTAACTTTTTGCTTCAATTTGTGTTTGAGAAGGTTATTCGGGATGGTAGAAGAGTTGAGATCTCCATATATGATGTTGTTGTCGGTGATGTTATTCCCCTTAATATTGGTAACCAGGTATGTCTTTTGTCATTGTTGCATATCATACCTAATGGTTGCGTTTCTTGTTATTTAGATATTGACTGATCTTTTCTAGGTCCCTGCTGATGGAGTTTTGATCACTGGTCACTCTCTTGCAATTGATGAATCAAGTATGACAGGGGAGAGCAAGATTGTAAGTGCTTATTTCTATCATGTAGAGTATAAGGTTAGTTACTGTGTTTTTTTTTTTTTTTCCTAAGTTGGTAACAATTTTCCCTTTTGCAGGTCGATAAAAATTCCAATGATCCTTTTTTAATTTCTGGATGTAAAGTTGCGGACGGCAGTGGCAATATGCTGGTAAATTTTGGACTTTCATTTTCCCCTCTATTGTTGTATTTGTCCAGTCTTGATTTTATTTACAAAACTAAGGAGTTTCAAAGGGTTGTTGATGTAATTCATAACCTATAAGTGGACCTCAACTCTTAAAGCTTAGATGGGAATTATCCCAAGGACCAAAAAAATGTGTAAAATACCACTTTGGTCTAGGAAAGATTTGAGGTGGACCATATTAGTCCTTGAAAGATATTTCATAAAAAAAAGAATTAGTCCTTGAAAGATGGAAATCGGCATTTGCATCCTTGAAAGGTGAAAAAATCGTTCGTTTTAGTCCTTTTTTTTGTCATCATAATCTCTAAAAAGAACTAAATTGATTGACATTTTCATCTTTCAGGGATTAATGTTACTAACTTCAAATCTTTAAGAAACTAAAATGGTGTTTTACTAAAACTGTGCATTTACTGGGAATTTTTTTCTATTTGGATTCATAAGGAAATTGCTCGTTTTTTCTAGAAAAGTCACTTTGAAATGATGTCAATTATTCACTTATCTAGTGCATGCTGTTCATGAAGGGATTTTATTCCCTGTTTGATTTTTGAAAACAATTGGGGCAGAGAGAAGAGGTGAAATATGGATTAAATTGTACTGAACTTCTTTCAATAATTCAATATATTAAATATTGTATTTGTTCTGTCTTAGTTTTAGTCCACCTTTTTAATTGATTAAACATATATTTTTTTCTTTATGATGTTCCTTTTTTTTGGTTGCTTTCCTTCCTCAGGTAACGGCTGTTGGTATTAATACTGAATGGGGACTTCTAATGGCTAGCATTTCAGAAGACAATGGTGAAGAAACTCCTTTGCAGGTCCCTTTTTGCACGCAATTTTGTTTTTTAGTTCCTGCTTCTAATAGTATGTTTTACCTATGTAAGTTCTCAACATAGGTACGCTTAAATGGTCTCGCTACCTTAATTGGTATTGTTGGACTCTCTGTGGCTGTTGTGGTTCTGCTGGTGCTACTGGCCAGGTTTCTATCTGTTTCTTTTTATGATTTAGTAATATTTTTTTAGTTAAAATTGCAAATCTTTAACACTCTGATCCTTTATCAAATAGACCCCTGGTGTGTATTCTTTGTAGTTAACATCCCATGGGATTTTAGGTCTGTCAATTAACCTGCTAAAATTTAACATATGGCTTATTCTCCAGAATCTCCACTAATTCATTTGGTTAACTGTCAAAATTGAAAGCAAGGGTAATTTGCCATTTGTTGAGTTAAATGCTGAAATTAAAATTTTAAGCACGGTGTCAATTGTGAAATCACAGGACTATTTGCCAAACTTTCAAAGTTGAAGTGGATAATTTGCAATTTAACCTAGTTTTTTTCTCTCTTATTTTTCCATGTCTCTGAAATGGCAACCTATAAGCGCAGATATTTCTCTGGAAATACTAGAAACACAGATGGAAGTATTCAATTTATAGCGGGCAAGACCAAAGTTGGGGATGCCATTGATGGAGCAATTAAGATTGTCACTGTTGCGGTATGTGCATTGAGAAGTACTAGACTCACCTGAAATTATATGATCCATTTACAGATAAATATCCATAAACTTTCATAGGCCTTAACGTTAATATCTATGAGGTGATTGTATTGCGTTGGATATAGGTCACCATTGTAGTGGTTGCAGTGCCTGAAGGGCTCCCTTTAGCAGTTACCTTAACGTAAGTTTGATAATTTTTATCTATATTTTGTCTATTATTGTCTTGATGGACATGTGGTAAAATTGCTGCTACTTCACATTATGGATAACAGTATCATTGTCCTTTGACTTCAATATGATTTATACATTTGATCCTTAATTATTTTAAATTTTTAATTGGTGTACCTAATATTGCTCCAATGTAGAATATTTTCTGCCCTTTAATCTGTCATTTTCTATCTTATGGCCTATTTTTTTAATTTCAATTTTATTTTCTTATCATTAAATGATGCCACCATGATCTCTATTTTATCCATTTTAGATATGTCAATATGCTCTTTCATATCTATGACATTGTTACTCTCTACTGATACTTGCACTGTTTCCCATCAACTATTTTGTAGTCTTGCCTACTCAATGAAAAAAATGATGGCAGATAAAGCTTTGGTATGACAATTTTTCTTTGTGCTATTGGATTTGGCACTCCTATTAGTGAAATGCTATTTAATATAACTCGTTGAATTGCAGGTGAGGAGGCTTTCTGCCTGTGAGACAATGGGGTCAGCCACAATCATTTGCAGTGACAAGACTGGAACATTGACTATGAATCAGGTTAGTTGTGATTTATGACTCAGTATTTAAACTCTTAATAATATTTATGGTAAGTTACAAAAACTTGTTGGAGGGCATTTGTTGCAAATATTTTAGTTCTATTGTAGCATATGTGCTTCCCAGCTTATGTTGCAAATATTTCTTTTGGGTCAAAATTTTGAAGAAGTAGTTTATATGTTTGCATTTATTAGAAAATATGAATTTTGGTCAAACTTAATCTTATAAAATTGGCTTGTAAGGTGAAAGTTATTTCCACATATATACTCTATTATCTTTATTTTTAGTCAATGTGGAACTTAGACATTTTCCAATAACTTTAATGAATATAATAATGTGTCCAGCAAATCTTAATTTCTCCTAAATTCTTTGAGATAGATGACTGTGGTTGAGGCTTGCATTGGTGGGAAGAAGATTTCTCCTCCTCACGATAAATCACAGTTCTCTCCTACGCTCTGCTCTTTGCTGATTGAAGGTGTTGCACAGAACACTAATGGGAGTGTTTATGCTCATGAGGTATGATAGAAATGTTTTACTTTGCTCAGTATTCCCCCCTTATAATAATCTCATGCTTGATTGGTTCTACTACTTCATGAATAATTCTATTCATAACAGGGACGTAATGATGTTGAGGTTTCTGGCTCACCAACAGAAAAGGCAATTTTAGAGTGGGGAATTCGGGTCTGTTTTGGAACTCAAGTTTTTTTTTTTTTTTTTTAATATGTCATTTTAAGGAGTTTCATGTGATTACAAGTTTACAACTAGTTATGACTGTTATATAAAATTTCAGCTTGAAATGGATTTTAAGGCTGCCAGATCAAAATCATCAATTATTCATGTCTTCCCATTCAATTCAGACAAAAAGCGTGGGGGAGTTGCAATACAGATGGTAATACCTTGTTGGCATTTTAATTCAAATATGTAAAAAATTTGCTTCTGTTCTAAACTGATATGCTATTAGGTATCTAATATATTATGTTATATGATGATGTACTATATCTTGTTTGTCATCCTTTCCACTATTGCTAATAGTTTTATACTTTTTCAGCCCGACTCTTCAATCCATATACATTGGAAAGGTGCTGCTGAGATAGTCCTAGCTTGCTGTACAAAGTATATGGATGCAAATGGTCAAAGGATGAAGATGGATGAAGCGCAGGTTTGAGAAAATAGTTACCTATTTAGTCCAATAGTTAAATAAAGGCATTGGTTTTTCTTCCCGCTCAACTTTTTCCTGTTGGAAACCTTATCTGATTATCTCTCTTTTTAGAATTTTACGCTTAGTTTTCCTATTTTGTCTCCTATTTTCTCCATCTATTATCATTACACACACTCATGAAACAAGCAAATTCAAGTATTACATGAGCTGTTGGATGGCATTTGATACTGGTTTTTTTTACTGATTTTGGTAATGTTGTCAAAAGTGAAAATTTCCTGGCTTGCAGATGACGGCTTTTAAAAAAACTATTGAAGACATGGCTGCTGATAGTCTACGTTGTATTGCCATTGCATATAGATCATATGAAAAGGAGAATGTTCCAACTAGCGAAGAAGAACTTGCCCACTGGTCATTACCAGAGGATGATCTTGTTTTATTGGCTATTATTGGCCTGAAGGTAATATTTCCTCTTGAAATTAGATTGCCATGCGTTGGGAATCCATGAATGAGAGAGTCGACAGATAGAATGGAAGAAAGAAAGAAAGAAAGAATGGAAAGGAGATCCTATTAATATATTAAACTTCATGATAAAGGACGAATTCTCCTTCCAAGCGTTTGCCTTTTCACAATAGAGCTAATGCTCAGTTCACAAATGTTATCATTCTCAGAATGATACCTCTTCCCTTACACCCCCCATTTATTTTCTAACCAGCTGCTGTAACTGTCAAAACTAGCTATTTTATTTATCCCCCCTTTATTCTTCCAACCAAATCCCTTCTGTTCTAATACATTGTCATCTTTGTAATGTTATCCTGATTTTATACTCGTTACCGCTATTGTTTATAATTTTCCCAATTGTCATTCTTTATCTGGTACATCTTGTTTAGAGTCAATTATCGTTCTTAAAGGGCCTTACTCTTTGTTGCACGACTTATACGTTTTATTTTGTATTATGTCAATATGTTCTAACTATTTGTCTTGTATCAATTATGCATTGATATGCAGGATCCTTGTCGACCTGGTGTCAAAGATGCAGTGCAGCTTTGCAAAAAGGCTGGAGTTGAGGTACTGATACATGCTTTTGATGTTGATCCATTAAGAGACTTAGGTCATTGAGACAAGTATAACATGTTACAGTACAGTTGTTATATTATATTACTCTATTTGTAGTTTAGTACCGCTAAGTGCCCAAGGTTTTTTTTTCTTTCCAAAAGTAATGTATTCTTAGGGGCGCCTGTGAGAGCTTATTTGAATAAGCTTCACGGAGAAACCTATAAAAATTAACTCTTTTTTGAGCTTATCGATCAAGCTCTCATTTGATAAGATTTTACTGAATAAGTGCTTATTTAAGTTATTCACTCAAGTGTGCCCTAAATTCACTGGCATTAACTCTCTTCTTTTTGTCAAAGCTGCTCCTTGCGAATCTTGAGAAAATTGAAACCCCAAACAGTTACACTAGAGGATAGTCAAGTGACTATTTTTCCTTACGGAGTTTTGCATGCTCTTCTTGAGGCTTCTATTATTGGGCAAGGTTATAACTTATAATCCTCTACAGTCTTCATTGTCTGACATGCTCATCAAGAATATAAGATACAGAAATCACCAATGAATCAGTTAGAATTTCCTTATATGAAGGAACCTGGGGTGACATCATCATGGCTTAGCCAGTACATATATGACACGACTTTAGTAGTACCCATGCATAATCTGATTATCCACCTCGGAAGTTACCTAAACATTCTTGCTGTTCCTTTCCAATTGATCTTCTACAACCTCACTGGTTATTGTCACTCACCTATCCATTGATGTTTTTAATTCGACAAACCAAGTTTTAATTTTGTGAGACCGCAGATATCCTAATAGTGAACACCCAATCTAATCCAGAGTACACTCCATTTTTTTTCTGTGATCCTGAGCTGATTGCTGGAAGAAAGCTGCTGAAGTTGCCAGCTGGTAAATAGGCCCCTGACAGTACTGATAGAGACATACTCTCTCTCTATTATAAATAAAAAAATTGATTTCACACGTACTAAAAAAATTAGTTAACTATATAAAATTTTATTAATTTTATAATATTCTTTCTAAACTGTCTTTATTATAAATGTTCATACCTCTTGATTAAGTGATTATAAGACTTGTCTTGAAACACCGGGCCAGTATTTCTAAAATACATTCTTGCAAGTATTAAAATAATGTTTGATCAGAAGATTCAAAAATCATTTTAAAAAAATATCATTAAACGAGACAATAGTTAAAAATTTGTTTATATTTAAAAATAAAAAATGTGTCTTTTTAGTTGTTGCTTATAATAGAAAACAAGAGAGAATATTGTTTCACCTACAACAATGCTGTTATCTAAAATCTCAAGCATGGGTACTCTTAAAGTCATGTTGTACACATATTTGGTATGTACTTGTACCCGATACACGTTGAGTATTCGTGGATACGTACCAGATATGTACCAAACACATTTTCCGAAAAAGAAAATGTTAGGTACTTATGGGGGTAAATATTAAGTTTGCACCTAGGGGACATTGAACCTGCTAAATCAATTCGCCAAAATTGCGAAGTCGGTTAAGTAGTTCAATCCACCCTGCCAACCTAGCGGGTTAAAGGTGGGGTGGAGCAGGTTGGCCGAGTTGACTTGTCTAATCTATCAATATTTAGTGTATGAGTTGTGATAATTTTCGTTCGAAACATCGTCCAAATCTTAAAATATTAATAGTTTTTAATAAATTTATTATTAAATAATTATTTAACTTAATATTTTATAATTTAAGTTAATATTTTAATCTTTCTGAATGTTTTTTGGAACAAGAATTCGAGAGCTCTACCATTTTTTTTAATGTATATATAAATGAATTTATTTTTTTATAATTAAAATAAACATATAATGATTGATGTGTTAAAATAATAAATTAGTATTTTAAAAAATTTTCTTTTATTTTGAATTTTTTTAGTGGGTTTTGATAAGTTAACTTGTGAACCCACCATTTCACAATCAACCCATTTTTATTATTTGATTTGTCAACCTGTCTTTAAATGAGATGGGTTATATTTTTCAACCCACCTTTAAGTTGACCCACCCTGCTTTAGTTGGGTTGATGGCGTGTTGGATCAGGTGGATCCCATTTTGCTAGCTATATGTGCACCCTTGGTCTGATAAATAAAAGAATTGTCCTTTAGTGAAAAAATAAAATAAAATATTTTTTTTCTTCTTATATTTTACTTGCTATCATTCATGTTTTTGTTATGTATCCTTGTTTGTGTTTGACATAAGACACTCTTTGTTCTTGACCTCCTGAATCTATCACCTGTGAGTATCAAGTATAACTCATCCAAATTGGTCATTATGAATCATTTTAAGATGAATGAGATTCATTTTAAGGAGCAATTTACTTTAAATATTTAATTGACATTCATAAAAAGTATCTAATGATTTATGAGTTAAATACATCTTATTTATTGACTTTCTTGAAGTTGCTACTCTTTCTCTTATTAAACTAAATTTAGAGCGATTCTTCTTATAATATTGATTGATAAAAGAAATTATGAGATTGAAACAGTTAAAGTATAATATTACAGTCATACATAGGTGTTATAATATTGATTTATGGATAATTACAAGTTGTAGTTTTTTCTTATGATTTCTTTTTGTTGTTTTGAAGAATTTAGTTCCTTTTATGTTATAAATTATGCTTATTTATATTTCTTTATTATTTATACAATTTAATTGTGTTTATGTATAATTTCTTTTCTTAATTTATGTATTAGGTTTTGCTTAATGTACCCAAACCCTAGATTTTTTAAAATTTCCGTATCTGGTGCAATTTAATCCATGCACCGTAGATTTGTATTTATTTTATTAAAAATCATTTCACAAAATAAAACTACAATTTATTGAATCTTTGCATGTATCGCAACTTTTCTTATTAGTGGTGGAAAACTTGACTGTTTAAGCAAATTGAGCTTTATTGCATTATATTGATTATAATGCAGTCTTACTACATTGTACATGTGGTAGTTGCACCGGGGATTTCACACTTACCCAAACACAGAACTAAAATGTAACATTTTGTTACTTTCACGTTCAACGGAAACTTTTTCACGTTGAACTTTAAACCAAACACACTATTAGTTATTATGTTTCTTGTAGAGGGTAAACCTTGAGAACGCGAGGGGTTTAAGTTTTAACACACTAATTATTAGATGTAAAAGAACGGATTTAAGATAGTAGTGAGTACCATTTATGTGAATTGATTTTTTTAAAAATATTTAAAAACATGTCAATGCTTTTGATATGACGAAGATGCAATGGCCTATTTTTCTTTTATAGGTTCATCTGATCTTTAATATCCTGCAAAATGAGCACTGATTAGGTTAAGAAATCAGTATGCTAGGCATATCCAGATTTCTACTTATGAAAAGTACTAATTTTCTTGGTTTGGATTTCTAATCCCAGTTAAAAATGGTCACTGGTGACAACGTTAAAACTGCAAAAGCAATTGCTATGGAATGTGGAATACTTTCAATTTCTGATGCCACAGAGACAACCATCATCGAAGGAAAAGTATTTCGATCCATGACAGATGAAAGGAGAGCAGAAATCGTTGAAAAGATATTGGTATGATCCAACTTCTATAACAGCTTTAGTGATGTAACTACTTGGCCAATGAGATTAAGTGTCGAGGCTATGTAATAGGTTATGGGGCGGTCATCTCCTAATGACAAGCTTTTGCTTGTGCAAGCATTGAGGAGAAACGGACATGTTGTGGCTGTAACCGGAGACGGAACAAATGATGCTCCCGCACTACATGAGGTTCGCAAGGCATTTCTTATGTTTTTGGGGCTTGTGCTTTTACTTTTATCTTAGATACAAGTTAAGATGATGACTAATTATAATGGTACAATAGGTGAGTATAACTGATGCCAACATTGTCATTGCTATGCCAATGTCATATTGTATTAGAAATTCGAATCTAGTACCTACGGTTCTGACTTACATTTTTTGGTTCAAATTATGTAAAAAAGTTTTTGTTTTCATGGTTGTGTTTGTGACTCTGTATTTTTGGGGTTTAGGCCGATATTGGTCTTGCAATGGGTATCCAAGGCACAGAAGTTGCTAAAGAGAGCTCTGATATCATTATTTTAGATGACAATTTTGCTTCAGTTGTGAAGGTTAGTCCTCATTTCTTATTTATGGGATTTTGAACTGTTCTTACTCAATGACACGTGTTTAACATCTACCTCTTGAAGGACTGTTTCTGGCATTACTTGAAGTGTAGAATTATAATTTTTTTAATACTTTTGTGAGATGTTTATATAGAATTAAGATGCATTTCATAGCCCCAGATATTATTTTGTGTAAAGCTGATTATGAATTGATGTTTGAACTTTGAAGCATAAGTGGTAGTGCCTTTCAATTTCTTTTGCCAATCCAGGTTGTCAAATGGGGGCGATCTGTATATGCAAATATTCAGAAATTTATCCAGTTTCAGCTTACAGTCAATATAGCAGCACTTGTTATAAATGTTGTTGCAGCATTTTCCACCGGTGATATCCCACTAAATACAGTACAGGTTTGCTTTCTGTTTGTCTTTTACTGGTTTGTGTTCCCTCATTTATTCGGAAGGCTATCCTTGTGAACTATAACTTCATTAATTTGTCATCAGCTTCTCTGGGTAAATCTTATCATGGATACTCTTGGAGCATTAGCCTTGGCAACTGAACCACCAACCAATGAACTGATGGATCAACATCCAATGGGTCGAAGGTCAATTTTTCTTTCTTTTCTTTTGGTTGTTTTTAGTGTTTCTTTTCAATGAAAGAAGGAAAATTCAAGCAAGAATAATGCACAAGATCCAAGTGATATATCCTTCACTAGTAGCAAAACAGCAGGTTACAATTAAAGTATTAACACATTGACACAAGTAAAAAGCTTTGTGAATCCCTCCAAAAGTAACCAGCAGCCAAAAGCTATAAAGATGCTAGTGAATGTTGAATTTGTTATTCTTGCATGGATTTTACATAACGCGCTTGTGTACAATGGACCTACTGTTGAAGCTCCATTACCAGAACATCAGATGCCGAACCTATGTTTGTAATGGTTTCTGTGTTATGAAATTGACAGCATCTTTTTTGCTTTACAGAGAACCTCTTGTGTCAAATATTATGTGGAGGAATCTGCTAATGCAGGTGAATTCTGTTTCTCATTTAGTGGCACCCTTGTTGCCATTGAAGCTGGCAGGAATTTTATTTTCACGTTGGCTAAGTCACAAGCAACCAACTAATGAATAAAATATAAAGCATTACTTATGCCATATTATTTCTGCTGTGTCAAAATCATCAATACTGGTTGGAACCTTTCAGGCAATGTACCAAGTGTCTGTCTTGCTTATACTTAATTTCCGAGGGACAAGCATACTGGGTTTGAGGGATGAGCCCAACCGCTCTGCAATCAAAGTGAAAAACACTCTGATATTCAACGCATTTGTTCTTTGTCAAGTAAGTCCTTGTCGTCACCAATTAATGGGAAATTACAAAACTCTAAGCTTTTGTAGCAGGTCACTACATGGGGACAATATTGGTGAAACCAAGAATTTTCCATCTATCTGTTAATTTAGGGCACTTAATTGGATTAAAATCTGCAGAAATACTTATAACTTAGTTGTAAACAAAATATTATTTTAGATATAATAGAAACTTTTAAATAGAATTGCCAATTTAACTAAATAAATTATAAAACAAAGGAATATTATGTCTTTAAAGATGATAGTTATTGTCTATTTTATTTTCTATTATAATTGTGGTTGAGCTCTTCCTTTTACGATCTTTATTATTCATTTATTCTCAAATGGCTTTTGGTGTTTTTATGGTGTATAACACTTGGAAATTGTTAATTGCTTTCATAATACATTAGAAATTGTTAAGTTCAGTTGTTTTTAGTGATTTGTTTACTGCATCTTTTTTGTTTTGTTTTGGGGGAAACAAACTAATTTTACTCATCCACATGTAGTTTATACTAACAAAAGGTGGTCCAGAAGCAATTTCAGATGAATTCCCTCTGCCATAGTAGAGTAACGTATCTGTTGCTTGATTGTTACGGCATATTGTTCTTGCCCGAAGGACTTTTGATAGTAGACCACTTATTAAGGTGTACACGAGGAAGATAGAGAGGTATGCAGGGAATAAATTTAAAGCCAATGTTACAAATAAAGAAATCAAGGGATTAAGGGAGTTAGTAGGTTGAGAAATTGTTTAGGGGAGAGCTCGGAACCTCCATCAATGACCCGTATCTTCCTTTCGCTTCTTGTTACTCTTGTATTGCTTGGTTCCCAAGCCGGTTGAGATAAAGGCTAATGGTCAAGAAACGGATGGAGAACAGAATAAAATCCTCGGAGGGGAGCCTTTAAGATTGGCATATGCAGATGGAAGAGGAGTTGGAACAGCGAGAGCATTGATGGAGGCAAGGTTAAGAAGCACTGAAGGAGCAATTCGTGAAATTCTTGAAAAATTGGGGAAATTCAGATCAGAGGGGCATGGTGAACTTGTGGCGCAGAGTTCAGGGAGAAGGAGAGAAGAATGAAATCTTTGAATGGGAAGGTGGGAACTATCAGACGAAGTGCAAACCCCTATTTTAGCCCTATCATATTAGTGGGGGGAAAAAGATGTCACATGAAGATTTTGTGTAAATTATAGGGAACTAAATAAGATTACAGTTCAATGGCAAGGAGAGAAGGACGAAATCATTGAATGGGAAGGCAAACCAGTTCAATTAGACCCAAAAAGTATGGCTGGAGTTACCTCAAGGAACGCTCCTAATTGTGGGTGAGATTCAAAGTCACAAGACCATGATACTAGTTGATAGCGGAGCATCTCGTAATTTCATTGCTAAGGAGACAGTGGCAGCTTTGGGTTTTCCTGTGTAAGACAGAACATAATATTGGGTCAAACTAGGAGATGAAATTACGAGACCAAACACAAGAAGTTTGCAAGGATGTGAAATTTCAGAAATTTTTTACTTATAGATGAGGGGATGTAATATTGGGTATGGAATGTTTGGATACCATGAAATGGCTTACTCTAAGAGATGTTGAATCACTTTTTGGGACGCATGGGATGGAATATTTTAGAAGATTTTGTAGGTTATGCGGCATTTACAAGGCCCTTGACAGAATTGCTTATGAAGGATATTTCGATTGGAGTCAAGGAGCTAATTGGGCATTTGAAGATTTGAAGGCACCCATAATAATTCTTCTTACTTCAGTGTTACTAAACTTATGCAAAACCTTTGCAGTATAATTCAATGCATCCAGCAAAGATATAGGGGCAGTATTCCCACAAGATAACAGTCCACTTGCACTTCTTAGTCAACCCTTGTCTGAGAGAAAATCTGTATATGAAACGAAGTTGATGACAATAGTATTTACTAGTGTTTTAACATTGGCCAAGACTAGGCAGTCAGACCGATTGAACTGGGACCCAACAATCCAACCAGCGTGAGCCTTCAATTCAACCATTCATGTATTTGGAGGGTCACAACTCAAACCGGTTCAATCCATGGAGATAGTGTTGTGTCTCATGACTCTCATCTATCATGTTAAAAAGAAATATAAGTGACATTAATATTTTAAAAAAAAATTTAATAAAGACTAAGCATGAGATTCAATTAGTGACCTATCAATTCAACTTCTGATCTACTGATTTAATAACTGATCCGATTTTAAAATTGGTATTTACAGTTTAAAGTGAAAGCATTATCAAATGGGGAGGCATTTAATAATCAAAATAAGATCAAAGAAGTCTAAGATTCTTAATTGAAGAAGCTGTGAGCAGTAGAGCAACATAAATGGACCTCAAAACTGTTGGGATTTGATTTTGAAATTCAATGTAAACAGGGATATGAGAACAAGGCTGCCGATGCCTTGTCAAGACAGATTATGTTTGCATCCTTGAGTGAGTGCAAGAAGAATGATCGTAATGGGAAAAGTGGAATCTGATCCTGCTCTTCAGGACTAGTTATACAAGAGGAGTTGGAGGCAAGTCGAAATGTACCTTGTCAACTGGGCATCCTCATAGTTACCTGGAATATACCTTGCAAGCTGGAAAACTGTATCATAAAGGAAGGCTAGATCTACCGAGCAGTTTTTCACGGATTCCTCAAATATTGAATGAGTTTCACAGCTTCCCACGAGGGGGTTGTGCAGGTGTGTTCAGGATGTTTAAAAGGATCTATTGTACCGGAATGATGAAAGACATGCAATAATACATTGCTTAATGTCATTATCTGTCAGCAGAACTAATATCAAACACTGGCTCCGATAGGATTGGTTCAACTTTTGCCAACTCCAGCACAGATTAGGAGTGATCTCAACTATTGTACCGGAATGATGAAAGGCATGCAATAAAGCATTGCTTAATGTCATTATCTGTCAGCAGAACTAGTATCAAACACTGGCTCCGATAGGATTAGTTCAACTTTTGCCAACTCCAACACAGATTTGGAGTGATCTAAATGGATTTTATTGCTGGCCTTCCAAGAGATCAAGGCAAGATGATGACAAGGTGAAAGCTTTAGGGGGGAGTATTGATAATGGGGCTTGCAGGGTATTTTGTAAACACAGTATAAATAAAGAGGGGAATAGGGGAGTTAGTCAGTGAGAAGTTGTCGAGTGGAGAGTCTCAGGACCTCCATGAATGATTCGAGTTCATTGATAGAAATAAAGTCTACCACATATTTTCTTGCACTTTCCATTTTCTTTCATATTTTCTTTTTGATTTTTATTACTCTCGTATCACCGTTGGATTCCTCTGTTCTTCATTGCTGTTAAATCCTTTTGATGTTAGAAAATGGTTATGGATGCATGCCCAATTCATTCTTCACCTTGTATTCAGTTATATTGGTAGCCCTTTTATAATTGCACTATTTTATTTTGATTTTAATTTAAATAATGGAAAAGAAAATGTTCTTCCAAAACTGCAGGTCTTTAATGAATTTAATGCCCGAAAGCCAGATAAACTCAACATATTCAACGGAGTCACAAGAAACTACCTCTTTATGGGGATAGTGGGAGTAACTGTTGTGCTTCAGGTTAGCAATAGATAATGATATTACTATAGAAACGGTAGTAAGTTTGTGCAGAACGAAGTTCAGATTACAATGGAAATAGTAGAAAATTTAGATGCAGAAAGGTAAAAGAAAAATTCTCAAGAGAATTAGTGCCTTCTCTGCCCCATGGCATTAGTGACCCCAAAACTACCCAAATGTACACCCCTTGCACTACCCTCCATTCCTTTTATACTCGTGGCCCCCCATATTGCTGCATCATCCTCTCCAGTAACCTGCTGCCAACTAGTACCCCCTCTGTTTGAGACATGCATAACTGATTCCTCCATTCCACTTCCCAAACTGCCCCTATTCCTCCTCTCCCTTCTAGGGTATATACAGGTGGCCCATGGTGTTGAGCACATGAGTTAGTCTTGTTAAAAGTCTCTCGTTGTTTGCTTTTATTTATAATATATTAGTAGGGCTACCATAAACTTTGTTAATCGTTTTCAGATTGTCATCATTGAATTTCTTGGAAAGTTCACTAAAACAGTCAAGCTGACTTGGAAGCAGTGGCTCATTTCTGTTATTATAGGATTTATCAGGTCAGTTGATGATCACACGTACACAAATTCATAGTGTATCTTGCTCTTTGCATGCTATTTTCTTCTGAGTTTTTATTGGGGATTGCTTTTGATGAAACTGGTAGGGCCTTGATTGTTTTTAATACTTTACTCGCCCTGTGAACGCATGCTAACTGTAATTCTTCCCCTTCTCTTTCCCCATTCTCTCAGCTGGCCTCTTGCGGTGGTTGGAAAACGGATACCAGTACCAAAGGCTCAACTCAGTAACTTTTTCCGAAAATGTCTTCAACACTGTAACATTTTCCGAAGATGTCTTCCTGAATGATCAAGGCGGGGATCTGAGCCTTCTCAACAGAATCAAATATAGACGTCTTGCTGATTCATTCTCCTTGCCGTCTCATTTATTGGCATGTTTACCTACATTCTTCTGGTGATGGAAAATAGTATACTAGTTGTACAGAGGTTGGATTTGGATTTGTTTTATACTTAGGTTCTAACAAGGTTAGATTTGTTATATACGGAATTTCAACTAGTCTATTTTAACCCCCAGTGTATTTTCAGTGTGACATGTTGATCTATATTTCAATTTAGCTTCTTTTTATTTGATGTTTTATAGAAATATGAGTTTCTTTAAACTTATTTATAAACTTGTTTTTAACTTACATAAATGTTTATTTCATTTTTTTCTAAAAGTATTTTAGAGAAATTTATTTAAAGATATTCTTTTAGAAAAATCACCACAATGTTAATTGGTCATTCCAAACAGCTAAAGAGTTAGATGAGATTCGCAAGGCCACGACTAGAAATGAAAATAAATCAAATCAAACTTTGAATATATAATCATTACTTTGACCTATTAGCTTATTTAAATTATTAATGTTAATTAGGTTAATAAACTTAATTTTTAAAAATCAACAAAATTATTTTTAAAATATACTTTACTCTATAGATTTAAATTTTAAAGAAATATAAAAGAAAAATTAAATCATTTTTTATTAAAAGAATAATTTATATATAATCATATATGTTGATATACACTCATACATAGATTTTATAAACTTATAATAAAAAAATAATTATATAAAAAATAATTCAAATATTGATAATTTTTTTATAAATTTATTTATTTATATTTTAATAATATATATATTATATTATATTAATAAATAGACTGATCTATCAGGTCTAAAAGACTTTTCTAAAAATTTAAATCTGACCTTTTTTTTTATATATATAAATAGACTTTTTTAAAAGTTTAAATGACTTTTTATATTTGATTGAAATAAGAAAATTCTCAAGATGAATTTGCACTCCATGCATCAATTGCATATTCAGACAAATGGCTAGTGCAAGTATCGGTGTATTTGCACGCCATGCATCAATTGCAAATTCAGACAAATGGCTAGTGCAAGTATTGGTCTCTGCTTATTTGGTTAGGTCTTCATAGAGCAGACAATGAAAATGGTGCATGGCCTGCTCAACTGTTGGAGCATATCTGCCCACTGAATATGCTGGGGACTGGAGGCCCTTCTGGACACCCTGACACAGCACAATATCTTCTATCTGCACATCAACAATCAAATTGTGGGTATATTGCGACTTGAGGAAAATTTCTAATCAAATCTGCAAAACCAATGCTTTTACCTGCACTTCCTCACTATCTTGCAAGCTTTTTTCTATGAAATCTGTGTCATCCTGCTCAGTCAAAGAGAAGTCAGTAGGCATCAGTGTTTTAAATTGACTGCAATTGTTTTAACAAGTATTTATTTATTCTCTAACCTCACTGATTTTATGGAGTGAAAACCCAGAAACTGAAAAGCTCAATCCTATAAGGAATGGAGCCATCAATATGAGCATAAATCCTGAATTAATTTCTGAAAAATAGTATTAATTAAAGTCTTGACTACGTTCTACACCGAATCCATCAAAGCAAGAAAATGTGTGTTTTAGTACATCACCCATAATTACTTGTCGGTTGTCAATAAAATATGCCAGCAAATAAAATTTCCAGCTAATGGTCCAAAAGAGAACCAATACAAGGAAGCAGATCTTTTTATCCTTAGTGCAATTCGGAATCATGGATACAATATCAGGCATATGCTTAAATCACTACAAATTACCTTCAGAGAGTGTTCAAGATAGTAATCAAATATTACTTGACATTTGTTGGGTCCTAGTGGAACCACAAGATTGGTGTCCATCCAAGGTCCATACCTATGAAGGAGATATACCAAAATTGTTGTTTAAATAAATATGACTGAATTTTGATCGATCAATTGCGTAAACAATAAAGCAAGCACCTATTAATCATGAAGTTCGGGTAAATAAAAGCATATATAGCTTTTTTTCCAACTCTATCATAATTCTCTTTGCTCTTCTCTGAGCTGCCTTCACAACTTTGGATGCTAACCCTTTCAAACATCTGTTTCAATCATAACCATCCTTTAGTATATCATAAATCTCTGGTAACAAATAACAATTGAAAATCCAATTCCAAAAGTATTCTATTGTTTTAGCTCAATGTAGCAAATTGTTTTAGATAATAGACTGACCTACGAAGATAAAGAGTATTCTTTATTCTGGTTGGAGTAGAAATGATGAAATTTACGTGTAACAAGGGTTTAGAAAAACATCTACATGACTCGATTTTTCATGCTATACAGTACGATAGCATGTAAAATGAAGAGATTTTTTAAAAGATAGCAAAGGAGCATACTGTGATAGCATACGAATCCATCTTAAGACCAGATGCAAGGCCTTTATGTGCATATGGCACATGATAGCCACCATCTAAGTAGTTATCACAGAAAACCTGCAAAAGAAGACCCAAAATTACGAAAGCCCTAGCACCTCCTTGAATCATACATAAAAATAAATAAATAAATAAACAGACAAACAAATAACATTGTATAGAATAATAAACAATTGACGTTGTTTAAAACTTCTTGTAGAGAATGTCCACCGGTGAGATAAAACAAACAGGTTTACCAACATAAGTGAGGGTGAAGGTTTATAAATCTGGTAAAATTTTTGTTCACATATTATAAAGAAAAATGAAGCACAGAGTCAATTCACACCTTCCAATTGCATTCAACCGTGTATTCACGTCTACAAACATAACTTAGTGAAGAATCAACTCCATTGGTGCTCAGAAATTCCGAACAGCTACCAAGCCATTCTTTTGACACACCATGAATATCAACTTCCTTTTGAGAAAGACTCTCTTTATCCAAATTGAGAAGAACAAAAGGCCCCCAGATAGCTACTTTGATTGGTAAAAGGCCAAAATTCTAACCTTCATCATCGCAGAGAAATCAGTTGACTTTTTCTCTCTAAGAAATATATAGTACAAGTAACTTATGACAGAACATATCTGCATACATTTACATTAAAATTTCGCATTCCCGATATTCTAGTTGCCTTAAGAAGTGCTCCATTGAATCCATATGTCCACCCCTGCAGAAATCATTGTCTTTCAATAGCTAAGTTTCAAAAACAAAGGGAAATAAAAGGAAGAAAAAATAGAAACTTGTAATGAGAAAGATCAAATCATGATAAAAAAATTAACACCCATTATCCATGAAGGAAAGCTTGACAATTGTGTTTTCAACCTCACAAGGATCATAATATAAACCAGAGAATCAAAATAAATGCAAATGTGCATGTTTACCACTGTTGGTAAACTCACATGATAAGGGCAGACAAAGCAGGACTTGTTTCCACTTCCAGATGCAAGAATAGAGGCATGATGACGACAGACATTGTGAAAGGCGCGGACCATGCCACTGTCATCTCGACAGACCACATATTCCACATCTCCTAGTCTGCAATATTTAATCTCCACTTGGTTCTCAGAAGCTTCAATTAGACAACTTTGTTAACAACTCATATAAAAACAACAAATTACAAAATGAACTTGAGTTGATGTATTTCTGTTGAAGATAAAATAGATGAATTGGAATAATAATAATAATAATAATAATAATAATAAACCTTCCAGTGAAAAAGTCACGGGAATCCTTTATCTGCTCCGTGGAACCTGCTAAGAAAATTTGAGTGAAACATGAGAATTTTTGGCTGACGAAAAATTCGATAAGGTAAATTGTAGAAGACATAATTCAAATAGCACTTTGCAATGTCTAGAACTAGGTCTCACTCCCTAGTTTTACTACAAAACAGGAAGGATCATATGTGCAAGCAGAGATTATCGTTTACAGTAAACCCTCACATTAGTTCCTGAATTTGGAAGGTATTATCATATAAATCCTTAAAATTAAGATATTTCCAAATAAATTATTAGAATGTAAAATAAGTCTTTGAAATTAATTACTTACTCTCATTTTATTTCCTGATTATATATTAATATTACCATTTTAGTTACACAGTTTACTTTACAAATTCTTAGTTTTAGAGATTAATATGATATGAAAATTCACGTTTACAGGAAGCAAAATTCAAGCTTCCACGTAAATTTGATTGTAAACGTGGAGAGAGAAAGAAAAATCACGTTCATAAATCAAAACCAAACACGCACTAAAACGTAGATGAAGTGGACCTACAAATCAAAAGAAAGTAATATACTCAGTTTCATATCCTCAGTCACCATCTTTCTTTCCTGCAAAGGTGTTTCACCATACAATAAACATCATAAAAATAAATAATCAATTTTTTTTCTTTTTCAAGCATCGAAACTAATTATTTTTATTGGATTGAAACTCTAAATCTAAATGTGTTTTCATCTTTATTCCCCAGCAGGGTCAGGAAAGCAAAACAAAAATACCCGAGAAAAGAAGGATAAAAAAGGTTAAATCTTTGGGAAGAATAAAACTGACCCACAACTTGCCAGCCTCTATAGAAGACACGATCGAGCTCATGGCAGAAGAAAGAAGGGTCAGTGTACCATGATGTTGGGGGAGTAACGGCTTCCTCTATGGGAATCTTCGGATTGAATTGGTGAACAAGGCTCTGAGTCTCAGTTACAAGATGGCCTGAATTCCGGATTGTGCAACAAGTGAAGGTTGCATGTTTCTTTGGAAAATTAGGGTTTAGGAGTTGTCGCTGTCGGAGATTAGAGACAAAGGGTGTCAACTGCAGGCTCGTCGTCATTTGCATCTGCTTTACCATTCACTGGTGTTTTTCTCTACTTTTGTATTATTATATAAAATCATTCTAGGTGCAATGGGATTATTTATCGGATAATTGTTAAATCAGTTCTAACCTACTTTATAAGTTGCTAAATTTTAGCAAAGTTATTTTTATAAGCAATTCTGTTAAAATTTAAGCAACTCATAAAATGAGTCAGAGCTGATTTAACAATGATATGGTACAAGGAGTTATTTATAAGCAATTTTCATTGCAGATGCTCTAGTACACCAATAATAAAGAAAAGGTAATACTATTTATATATTTTTTATTATTTAAAAATTTATAAGTAAAATAATATAAAAAAATCATGGACAAGAAAATAAAAAGTCACTTTTTTATATAGATATAAATATTATTTTATATATAGATATAAATACTACTATGTTATAATTTAATTATTCTCCGTTTCTCTATTTTACTGAAAAATATACTGTTATAATTTAATTATTCTCACTTTCTCTATTTTACTGAAAAATAAAAATGGAAAGAGAAGCGTGACAATGTTTGTCTTTTTTAGAGGGTCAAATATATAAGTTATGGGGGGTGGGGAGAGGAAATCATAAGTTTCATTTTGGATATTTTGAGATGAGATTGTGGTGCATGTTGAAGTCGGTAATCTCTTGCCCTTTGATATGTATACATGGACATCATATATTCTTTTATGACAGTCATTTTTTGTTTTGTCATATGCTCTTGCATGTCCTTCCATGCACGTATGTTGTTTACTGTTTAGCGGGATTTTACCATAATGCGTGGGGTGAATTCTCTAAAAGACCTGTAATACAAGTAATGTATCTATACATCATATGATGATCATAGATATAATAGTAAAATAATAAATAATTGAGATATTTAATTAATAAATCTTTTATGATTAAGATTTTAAAATTGCAGACTAATTTTTTTTTATTTTTTTTAAATTTTGAAATTGTTCTTTCTCACCTCCCTCTTCTTCCTCCCTTCCTTCTCCTCCACTTCTTTCTCTCCGGCAGCGCCTTCCACAACCTCCGCTCCCGTCCCTCCGCCGCCCCCAATTCCTCCACTGCCTTCCTTTCTCGTGAAATCAACAAGCTCTCTCGTTTCCGTCTCGCCAAGGGATCCCTTCCCGCTCAAAATCAACGGACCACATTTTTGCCGCATCCAAGAGGAATCTCCCGTTCTAAGGCCAGAAAGCGTGTGCCAGAACCCCCAAAACGCTGTCGAACGGAATTGGAGATCTAAACGCATTGCATTCAGTATGATTTTGCATTGGGATATAGTCAAGGTAGAGACTAAATGTGCATAAAAAATCTTTAGTTCACATTAAATTCGTTGGAGATCCCCAAAGAAAGGTCGGGTGTTGTTAAGTATTGATGGTTCTAAGAGGCTGACTAATGATGAAGATGAAGATGAATATGTAGCTCGTTATTAATCTCTATGTGTTGAGTGAGATGATTTAGCAAGGATTTCAGAAGAAAGAAAAGATCTTTATTAATTTCTATGTTTGAGTGAGATGATTTATTTAGCAAGGATTTTAGAAGAAAGAGAAGAATTGTCAAGGGATTAAAAAATATATATGTTTGGAGAAGATAATTTAAGTGAATTTGTGAGAAAATTGTGATAGAGGTTCAAATGAATTTAATTTCACTCTCTTGGGTGGATTTGTATGAAAATTTTCAACAACAAAAAAAATTAGACAAAACTATCTATATACTATTGTCTAAATAGTAAGTTAGTAAAGGATAAAAATGTAATTGTCTAAATAATATTTTTTTATATAAAAATCTAACTATATAAAATATATTTTTTAAATATCAATTTCTCTTTATTTTTTTATCTAATTTTATTCTACCAAATAACTACAAGTTTTACACTATTTCTTATCTATTTCCTATCAAATCAATTTTTAACTATTCTCTTCCATTCTCTTCAATTCTTCTCCTTCCCCCAAACAAAGCATAAGTATAACATTACGTGATTTTAAGTTTTTTCTTTATTAATATATGATATGTGTTGAGTAATTGTTGAATTATTGTATTTATTGTTGATTTAGAGCTTTAAAGACCAAAGGACCGTTGAGGATTAAGTTGTTGAAGAATTTTAGTTAGAGTCAAGTTGACAAAGTTTAGAAAATGCTATTTAAGGTATTTTCTTAAGAAGTGAACTTTATAAGTTCACATCTTTAGGAAACTTAGAAAGGAGTTAGAGAGAGACTTTGGAGTTAGAGAAGTTTTTTCCCCTTCTTAGTTCCACAAATCCCTTCTAAATCATTTCTTGTACTTGAATTGAGTTGAGAGATTGGAGATTCAAGTATTAGAAGATGAGAATTTGAGTTGGAGAGAAAGTTGTACATCAACCTCGAAGACTTTTGATTTTCTTACCTTTTATTGATCTTTGGGCAATTTGAGATAAGGAAAGTTTTGTGATTAATCATTGTTGAGTTTTAATGCTTAGTAGTTGTTAGAATTCATTATTGAAGGTTGTTTTGATTGAATTGAGACGAGATAATGATTTGTATTGAGTTCTTGGTTTCTTGAAAGTGTTTTGAGGAGAACTTGATGATTCTTGAATTGTGGTGGTTGGATGTTGAATGTTGTGTTAGAAATGAGTCATTTATGTCGTGTATATGTTGAAAGTTGGATTGCATGTAGGTTGTTCTAAGTTTCTTGCAGGTTTTGAGCAAAATTATGGATTATGCTATATGAGAAAATCATCATTACATCATGCGTGCTTTCATGGTGTAGGGCATGGTTTCAATTTGGGGCTCTCTTCCTTAACAACATCGAGCATGAGATTGGTAGCTTTGAGTGCGGGTTAGTGAGAAGCTTTTTGATTTGGTCTCATCAAGCGTGGAATGCAAGACATCAAACATGATTCCTCGAGAAATGCTTTATCTGGACAACGTTGGGAGTAAGTTTTGTGGCATTGGATGTAGATCAAGTAAAGACTCTATGACTGGATGAGGTTAGACGTAGGTTTAACTACACTAGACATGATTGACATGGGGACTCTTAGCCTCAATGACGTTGGGTGCAGGTGGATTGGTGCTTGGTGTGGACAAGCCAGAGGCTCTTTTCCTCAACGACGCGCGGAAAGTTGAGTATATTGTGTCAAGCAAGGGTGTGTCGAAGAAACTTGTTGTTTTAAGTCATCTAATTGTTGAAGGATGATGAATTATTTTCATGATGCATGTTGCTACTTGATGCTAGTACATTATGTATTGATTTATAATGATATATAATGATGTTTTAAGTTGTTTAAGTTGGTAATTACCTGTGCTAAAAGTTGATTAAGTTGTAAGATATATGTGTGTTTTAAGTTGTATGTAGTAACATGTGTGTCAAGTTGATATACATAAAATTAGATGATAGTAAAGTTGTTTTAAAAATTAAAATATTTGATTGTGTAAATATAAGTTATGGTGCTCTGAGAACCCAAAGTTAAGAATCCTTTAGTAAGTAGTTGGCTTTTGAATGGGTAATTATTTTTAAATTGTCTCCTCTAGGTTGTATGTAGAAATAGTATGAGAGTAAGATTGAGTCATACTGATTATAAATCGACAAATGTAGAACCATATGAAGGCTAGGTCAAGCCATATGTATTATAAGTGACCAAAATCGAGGGTTAAAATTCTTAATTAATTGTTGGAAAGGTATGTAATATTTGGAAGGTAATCGGTAGGTTAATTCCATATGAGACTTAGATATGCATATTAAGGCGAAGGTAGACTTACACCTAAGTTGTTGTTTTACCCTAACAATAGTATTAGACTTTCTTAGTTCATTTGTGAAATATGAGAAATCATTTTAAGTTGTTAAACAAGTGCTCAGAGAGGCCTGAAGTTGTATCTACTTGACTTAGTTGTGATAGGTTATCAAATCATTTAAACTATTCACCTTAGTTGTAGGAGATTTCCATAATTGATATATGTGACGACATATTAGTTGTTTAAAGTTATTTATGTTGTGATTAAAGTTGTATTTGATGATTGAAAGTTGTGATTAATGTTGCAAGTTGAGGTTATGTTTTAAGTTGGAGAAAAACTTATTGTTTTAAGTTCTACTCAATTGATGAAGTTGAAATTCCCTAATGATGTTATTATGTTGATTATTTCACAAGTTTACTCCTTTCTTTTCTTTATGATTGGACTACAATGATCATGCTTGGTATGAGAGTAAAGTAGGATTAACTTGGATGACTTGGCTTGTTGGAGGATGTCATGTTAAAGATGACCAATTTTGTGTATATTATTCTGACGTAGTATTTATTGTATAAAGATGTTTGACTGGTGATACAGTTATTTGGTATACAATAGTGTATATTGATGTATATTGTATATATGTAGGCTAAAACCCTAATTTGGTCCCTTATAATATTAAAAAATTTCAATTTGGTCTCACTTTAATTTTTTGTTTCAATTTAGTCTCAATTTATTTAAAATACTTCAATGTGGGACTTCTGTTCAAATTTCACAAACGGTGTTAAAGTACCGTGAGAATCACGCCCGTGATTCCAAATCATGACCGTGATTCTCACGTGTGGTGTTAAATCTCGTTCTTCGTTCTCCGATCACCACCAACGTCGAAAACTGCCCACGTTCACCTCCACCTTTTCGTACACCTTCCTCGACCCAGTTATCATCGACCTTCATCCATGATTTAACCGCCGCACGTTCTCCGTCACCATCCCCGACCTCACAAGCCCTAGCATCTACCACGGTGCCAAAGCCCCCCTCCCAACAAAAATTCCACCCCCAAGGTGGCAGTGGTGTCCCCCAACCTCGAACCCCACGACACCATGAGGTCGACGCGGCGCACCCGCATCGTGGGCGTGGCACTTGAGCTGTTCTACGCGAAAATCTGGCAAATGCCGGTGGCCTCGAAGATCGACTTCTGCATGTTCTGCAGGACATGGGCGGGACAGGACGGTGAGATGTATAAAAAGATGGAAGATGGTGAGAAGGAGGAGAAGAAGGTGGCGAAGGTGGAGGGGAGGGTTCCTCTGTCGTG